TCTAAGCTACCTCCCTACCAATTTTCAGCCAAATCTATTCTGCCGTTCTTGAGTTATAAGTGGTGTAACTAACACGACTTTCTTTTATATATATAGATTATAAATAGCTGAATGCAGGTCGTTACACTGTGGGGGCTTGGGGGCGCTTAGGCTCCGGGGTTGGTCTACTAAGAGGACCCGGTGCCTCCTTTTGGTGCGGATGATGGCCACCGGGGAGGTTTAAGTTAGGTAATAATCTCACAGTCCCTATTCCTTTTCCCCAAAAAGCTAGGTGCCTTTTAAAGGTCGCTTCCAGCCGATCAATCTTGAAGTTATTGGGTGAGTCCTATGTTGAGCAGTGGACGTCATGATGATGATGACTATTTACATTTACCCTTTAATAGCTAGGTACTATGTTTATAACAACCTCTAAAAGTGTGAAGATATCATGGATAAATTGTCACTGCAAATTGGTAATAGAAAAGACGACTTTTTTTAGCTAACAAAAGAGCGTCTACTTTACGTAGTATACATGTCAAAAAATTTCAAAATCTAATTTGGAATATTATACTTTCATAAACATAATTCACAAATGAAAGTAAGTACTTACAACGGTAATTGGGATAATAACTCCATTGCGTTTGGTTTATGGACGAAAATCGCGTGTAAAAGTTTGACTTTTAAAATTGTTCCTCCTATTTGGTGAGCGACCTTAAAATAAGATGAAATTCCTTGTTAATTGTATCTATAGTAGTATTCTATATCAATCAATTACTGTCGTTAGCGTTACTTGTTAATAAAACTAGTTAGGTACCTACTACTAATTTTAATACAAAAAATCTGTCACCGACCAGCACCTATAAAAACAACATGTGCACAGAAATAGACATTAGACCTACCAATAATATTTGTAATTTTATAATTATTTTATCGATAAAAACAACAACTGAGTACGTACCCTAATATGTTATTGTCAGATTAAAATATTGCCTTATGCAAAAATTCAACACGTTTTGTTATTTTGTGCTAACAAGCCTTTTGTCAAAGAGGCACAATTTACGTTAACGCTAAAGGCGTATAACATCAAATAATATTCAAACTTAGTCAATATTTAAGTCCAAAGTAATATTATTTTTGCTATCGACGGTATATACATATTTTAAACACGACTACACTTCGCCACGGTAATATTATCATACAGTATTATAAATCGGGCGCATAACAGAGTTACATACCTACAGGCGTGCGGTACGTAAACATGCGTTAGGGCTACCCGTCTCCAGTATTTTAACACTAGAAAGACGGAAAAAATCATCTACCTACAAAGACGGTGAGCGGTCAAATGACTGCTCCTAGATTTTTGATATTTTTTTATGTTTAAGTGCTAGAAATGGTACCTATAGTATTAAACATGGTATAATATACTGATAATTAAGTAATATGTATAGAATTTCTAATTTTATCATTTTGTTTACATTACAAAAGCCGCAAAGTGACTTTTTGCAATTGTCGCATTCTTTATGGGTTTTGTATTTGCATTTGTGTATATAATATTTTGGAATTTACTGGATTTTGTGCAGAAAATTGAGAAGTAAAAGATCTAGACTTTTCAGACAAGGATTCAGTTTCAGAGAGTATTCTTCAATTTATACTTTGCTTCTAAGTTCGCCCCCTGAACTTAGTATAGTATAGCCTTTGTTTCATGTAATATTCTACATTTTCCTATACCAAATGAAGGAATTATATCTAAAAAGGAAAATTATCTAAATTATGTTATATCTTTGCTAGGTCGCATATATGAAAAAAAAATCTATTTCACCTTTGAGATGCTCGTAACATTTTGACCAGTACTTGCAAAAAGTTTCACAAGACGCATCTGTATCAACGGATTCATCGACATTTGACCACTTTGAGTAGATGCCATTTGAGGATTGTACAAGATACAGTCGATAGTTGTGAAAAGACCTTGATGCTCAGGATCTTCCAAACTCCTTTCACAGCCTTTATCACTACCACAGCAACGACTACAACCACGAGAACCCAACCTGTCAACGTCTGATAAATTTGCTCGAAGTATCTGGTCTTTCAGGTCACTTCCGTCCGTAGAGGAATTCGAATTGACCACATAATCGTCGTCGCCATCACGTTTTGTATTTTTAGAGTCAAAATCAGACTCATCTTCACAAATATTATGGAAGTAACAAACATTTTTTCATTCTCAACACTCCAACACGTTGCGACCACAAACTACTTTCAATAATTTCGTAAAAGTTCACAGGCACTTGAAAGATACGGTCTCATTTGATAAATAAACTATAAAGAATGAATTAGTGTATATAATTTGTATTCTACCCTCTCATATTACACTTATAAACACTCATTGGTTGTCAGCAGTCAAATGACTGCCGCCGTCTTTGTCGGTAGATCAAGATTTTAAATAATAAATAAAAGAGTTGTGATTTATTTTCATACATAGTTGCATTTAACTAGTAAAATAAATAAAAGTCACAAAGTCTCAGTTTAAAAACTCAAAAAGATTTCAAGTCATTCAACATTTAAAATCAAATTGCGGTCAAATGACTGCTCCCGTCTTTCTAGTGTTAATTACATTTGCCCACTTTCTGTTTCTATTCAGTTTTGTCACACCACAGATAGGGCCACCACACACCCAATAGGGCCGATTGTCGCGGAGAACCTAACGGGTAACCGGGGCTCCGGCTCGACGTGCAGGAGAAGGAACGGGGTGGTTTTTAGTCAGTAAGAGTCTGACACTCCCTTCCGCCTCACCCAGGCGGGAGCAGTCATTAGATGATTTTCCCCCTTAAAAAAAAAAAACAGGGCCGATGCCGATTCGGAGTCGCGGAGAACCTAACGGGTAACTGGGGCTCCGGCTCTACGTGCAAGAGAAGGAACGGGGTGGTTTTTAATCAGTAAGAGTCTGGCACTCCCTCCCGCCTCACCCAGGCGGGAGCAGTCATTCCATGATTTTCCCCCCTTAAAAAAAATACCTCCGTTTCGTACTTTCGTCCGTTTGTAAGAAGTTGGAATACTGTATGATATTATTATCGTGACTTCGCGCTGTGGTATGTCTTGCTTCGTATGATTTTTTCACACAATCGACGGTCAATTTATACTGGTTTTGCGTGGCTTCATTTACGTTTAGCCGTGTACCTACATATTTGTATAAATTGGGATTGTTTTTACATGTTATAATCCGGAAGATTTTTTTATGAATGCCATCTAGTTTGTCGTTTAAAATGGTACCAACCTTTGGTACCTATTGCTAGTACAAGTGTATATTTTAAAACGTCACTGTCACCTTAAACTTATGCTAATTAGAAATCACGGAACATTTTTTAATGTCACCTAGTATGTAGTTTAAAAAAATGTATATGTATTTAACCATCACTCACAAATTGATTAAGTACATCCTGATTCCAGTATTTTTTCCTGTTACAAACACTAATTTATACATGAAAATAAAAATAAGATAACAATTATAATACATGACTATAATATGTAACTGTGATAAGAATATACACATAAGATGTTCATTGTCTAGACCAATTTATATCAACTGAATATTTTTTATCTCAGTTCATCTTTTCCTCAGTCTACATATGACAGTTCAACCATTTAGGTAATCTTATACTATTATATGTATAAACCTGAAGAATTTGTTTGTTTGTTTTAACGCGCTAATCTCAGGAACTACTAGTCCGACTTGAAAAAAATATTGTTTTGTTGGATAGTCCATTTATCCAGGAAGGTTATAGGCTATAAAACATCACGCTACAATCAATAGGAGCCGAGCAGAGCGGGGGAAACCATGCCGGAGCCGCTAGTGCAGTATATATATAATGCCAATAGACAAGTCATCATTATTATCTTATTATTATGCTAACTTAGCAACACTTACTAAAAATAATGCTTGGTCATGAACATTTCAAAACATTAAATATAAATGAATTGAAATTAGTGTTTGTCATCTATCTTTAAGTGCTTACATTAATTTTGTAACCACATTACACACTCAAAAATGTTGAATATTTTTTGTGTATGAGGTCCTACATTTAGGATTAAAATTTGATAATAGTAGTTACATAGATTTCAGGACGTTTGATAGTAGGTCATACGGCCATGGTAGCTAAGGCTAATATTCATGATGATGCATAGCTGTTTTGCATCATCATGAATATTTGCAAATGTGTTATTATAGACCATAACCTACCCCTGTTCCAAATTTCATCTCGATCATTTTAGACATTTTAACGCGAAGGAGTAAAACACATACCTACAAACTTTTGCATTAATAATATTAATAGATACTCGTAGGATAAGTAACTGAACTAGACAATTTCTTAATTTTATATTTACACGAAGATTAATCCTGTCTGCCTTCCCCGTTTTACTGTCAAAAAGAACTATGAAAATGTAAACAAACAGTTCAATAACTACCTAAAGTTTTAGCATTAACAAGCATTACTCAGCAAAAATCTATATCAATTCAAATCAGCCTCTTCCCAACTCGACAATATCTTAGTGAACCGTTTTAAATTAAGACATTGTTGAAATGTTTGTCTCATAATTATTATAATCATAGGATTCTAGAATGAAAAAGTAGCATCAGTTTTCATTAGTTAGGAATTTCAAAATATCAATAGGACTTATTGCTATAGCACGCACTATTACAAAGTATGTATTAGAAAGAAATTTTGGAAATTAAAGTAATAACGTCTTTGACTGACCCTTTCACTGCAATCATATCTTTGATTTGTCGATAATAATTGCGTAACTTACAATTCCACGTGTAATTGTGACTAAGATTATTATAGAAAAGATAATAAAAATGATGAGTTGGGATGTAACCGAAACACGTGAAACTCATTGATAAGAATTGAATAATAGCGTTATATACGTTTATATATAACGTTATGTTATATTTGTGCTTTCGACAAAAACTTGAAAACTCAGTGGAATCCATTCGTTCCCACAGTCCAGTCGCGTCTAATAATCTCAAAATGTTTTTGCCAGTAATATTATTTGGCTTAGTTGTGCTATTATTGTTCACATACCTCTATAAAACTGGACGATATAATGAAAGCTACTGGAAGAAACGCGGTGTTAAGTTTTACGATAGAAGCAAAGCCATCGGCCCCTATTGGGAGTTTCTCACAACAAAACGGGCTTTGTTTGAGATACTTGGTGATATCTACAAGGAGTATAAAGATGATCCTGCTGTGGGAATTGGGCAGTTGTCAACACCGGCGCTATTTGTTATACATCCAAAGAATGTGCAGCAAGTTCTACAGACTGATTTCCAAGCCTTCCACCATAGAGGAATGGAAAGCGTTGAAGGTGATCAACTTTCCGATAATATTCTCTTCATGAATGGACCCAGATGGAAGCTTATGAGGAAGAGTATGAGTCCATTATTCACGGCCAGCAAATTGAAGAACATGTACTACATCATGGACAAAAGCGCCCAAGACTTTGTGAGTTATTTAAAAGGAAATCCTAAAAAACGTGAGAGTGACATATACGGCACACTTATAACCTTCTGTAACGCAGCAATTTGTGGAGCAGTTTTCGGCATCGGATCTGAATCAACCTTTGATTCACCGTTCATCAAACTAGCCGAAAATATGTCAGCAACGAAACTCAAGAACGTATTAAGATTTGCTATTATTGGAATGAGCCCAAAGGTAGCAAATATGTTGGGAATCAAATTATTCAAAGAACACGAAGATTACTTCATAAGTTCTATTGCAGAAGTTATAAGAAAACGGGAAGCAGAGAATGTAAAGAGACACGATTTTGCTGATTTGTGTATTACTTTGCAGAAGAACGGAACGTTGAAAGATGAGACGACAGGGTGTACTATTGAACCAACGACTGGATTATTATCAGCACAAGCCTTGTTCTTCTTTGCTGCTGGAGTTGAGCCGTGTGCCGTTGTATTATTTTCGGTATTGACTCTTCTTTCTTGCCATCCAGAAATATTAGAAAAAGTGCACAAAGAAATAGATGAAAAGTTTGAAAAATACAATGGCCAAATTACTTATGATGTTATCAATCAAATGGAATATGTAGACAAAGTGTTAAATGAAGCAACAAGGATTCTTCCTCCTAATGGTTATGTAACACGGCAATGTGTTCAAGATACAGTATTAGAAGTGGGTAATATCAAAGTAGAAAAAGGTACAAAAATTTTTACTCCAATTTACCAAATACACCATGACCCGAGATTTTATCCAGAGCCAGAGGTATTTGATCCAGAACGGTTCTCTAAGGACAGAAAGCCTAGCGATGAAATTTTTATGCCTTTTGGTATGGGTAATCGCATGTGCTTAGGAGCCAGGTACGCTAAATTACAAGTACTAGCTGGACTAGTTCACGCTCTGAGACATTTTACGGTTAAATCAAATGCAAATATGAAAAATCTTATTTTTCAGAAACATATACTAAATGTAAAACCTGACAATGTAGATATAAAACTTGTTCTTAGAAATATAAACTAAGTGCTGATGACTTTAGAGTTTATGTTGTATAATTTTATTGTTGTGTATTACATGATTTAAGAAACATAATTGTATCATGACATAAGTGATAATTTAAAGATAAGATTGCATTAAAAAAATATTATTACTATAGTTTCTTTAGTGCTCAATATCTATTACCCTGATTTGTCTAATCACTTTTAATACTAAAATCGATTAGATTACGTTAGCACTTAATACGTCTTCTATAATTGATCCATTGAATATGAATCTCTGTTTGTTGTTGAACTCATATGAGTCAATGTGTCTTTATCACATTTTTTTGTCTCATATATCTACAAGATTATTATGCAACATGTTCTTATCATAAGTATTGCTCTGCTCATAACGTAACTCAGATGTGTGCTAAATAAGGAAGTTCTGAACACAATGTCCGGGATGGTAACGATATGACACTGCATATGACCTATGTGCAGAAAGGGCAGTAGTCGTTACGTTTTTGCTTACACACAACTAGATATTAGAGATTAGAGAAAATAGGACTTTTGATTAAAATTAATAAGGGTAAATTTTAGCCATGAACTTGATGCCAAAAATACTTTTCCATAAAAGATGTAACAATAGTACTTGTTTCTTCAGAGTCCATGCAAATACATCAATCAATGAAAAGACAGACGGATAAAGTAATTGGTATCAATAAACATAGCATTAAAGATGAAGTAGAACACGCATAAAGATAACAGCATTCATGGAGTAAATAAAACTTCCAAGGTCATAAACGAAACAGCGGTGACTTCGAATTCACATGTCAATCGAGGTATCAAAATCACATTATGGACATATAAACACATTTATAACTAAAACAGTGAGAGCAAGGGATTTCCGAACAGCAATCTTTGGACCCAAGTATTTAGGACAACCAGCGGAGCGAAACACTTGCGACACTATCTGGACAACACTAACGTGGTCATCCCATTCAATTTTCACCTCTATGTTTACCCAATTTAAGTCTTTTGTAACTGCAGGTGCTAACCTTGTCGGTAATACAAAAACCAGTTTGCAAGAGCTATGCAAATGGATGCGGCACCCTGACACATGTTCTGCGTAAGTGCGGTGTGCGTATAGAGTGGGATGCCTAGTTATAGTGGTCGGTACTCGTAAGGCATTTTACGATGTTGAGAATGAATGACTTGTTCCGTTGCGAAAATTATATATGTGAGTTGTATGATGCAAAAGTTTGTTTTTGTTGTAACGATTGGTTTCGGTTTCATCGGAAAATGTGCGGAGATATTTAGCGTCTTTGTGTCAGTAAGCATTTACCTGCATATACATATACACTAGGAAAGTCATAAAATGTTTATAGTTCGTTTCTAACAATTCATGTTAGAGACGAATCAATTTATAAAGTAAGAGTGAACATCATTCTTGACCATCTCGTTTTATAGTATTTTTATAGCACCTCCAAGCTAATCACTGCACAAGCAAAGCTAAAGTGTAAGATACTAAACATAAAGGTCATATTTGCGTGTAACAAGCTTCCGGCACATTTCTGCACAACAAATAAACGAAGGTAACCTCATTAAGCAAAACAATTAAAAATTGAAACACGAATGTATGCAACATTCGATGTTTTCACAATAATTCTAACGAGTAGCAATCGAAGGATGTTCATACTTACTGATTGCATTTTATCCGTTCAATACTGCGTGTATATAATTTTATGTATAAATGTACCTATTTATTAAAGACTCATTAGTAGAATTTGTGGGAATTTAACAATGTAATTGGTCTTGTAATATGTCTGTTGAATGGCTATAAAACCTAATAATGTTCAAACTTTATTTTACAACATCCATTTTTTATTCTTGAAGGTGTAAATAGAGTTCTCACGCACATATGAAGCACCCAAAAAACAAATAAAATACACACTAGCTACGCAGCAATGATAACACATGCTTTTTAAACTGTCAAACACCAAGCGGTCACCGGTGACCGCAACCTATTGTTCTTTAATTGTGTCTATAAATACGGTACTCGATGAGTTAAAATTGAGCCCCGATCGTAGCCCGAAACTAGTCGAGCGTCCTCGAAAATGTACCCTGTATATTTTAATTAGTAACATCACTAGTCAAAAATAAATTTTCAAATAAAAACATGACGTAATCTCTTAATAGTTAGATTTTATTTAAAATTACATATACTCTGCCATTCTATCTGCTGGACAGAGTGCTCGACTGCCCGTTTGTACTCTATATAGGGATAACTGCACTATATCTATACAATATTTGTTTGAACGACGAGGGAGAGAGAGGGCAACGACTAGGATGATGTTTTTTGCTTTTTAATAAACTGGATGAAATTATTAAATGTGGTACTTAATTTCTTCGATATAATGTTTTAGGTCATACTGTGTGAACCACAAATAAATAGATTAATATAGGCGTATATACAAATTGAAGGCAAATAATTTACACATTATATCAAACTGGGCTTGGTTATCTTGCTGACCTTTTCTATAATGTAATTTTTTTTTTACATTTTTTTAATACACAAATGTTATGTTTGAACTGTATACGTGGTTATTAATATATTTTGATCTATCTATAAAGCTATTACGCACAATCTTTTTATATCAACAACTCGAAACACCTTTAGTCTAAATCCAGGTCAGTAATAATTACGCGACCCAAACCAACAAACCAATTTGAAGAACACTCTGAATTCCAAACCACCCTTCAAATTTTCCCCATCTCTTAACACAGACACTCCCACTCCCAGTGGAGGGGGGAATAAAAGCTCAGTCGCGTTAACGATTTCGACGCGAACGGACGTATCGTGTGTGTCGTGCGTAAATAAAACAAATAATAAAATAAAATGTCCATGATGATGAAGTGAAGTGAAACTGAAGCTCTAGTGCTTCCTACCATGTCTTCCTATAGTGCTTCTTGGAATGATGCAGATGTTTTAACGTAGTATGTATTATAGGTTATGGTAGTACTTTAGTTTAGTATAGGCTTAGTTTAGGCTATCATCGGTCCGCAGTGTGCTATAAATTTTGATGTACGAGTAACTATTTGGTCAACTTTATGTAATGGCGTTCAATTTTGTTAAAAGTGTGTTTGTGATCACTAATCAATGTTTTTACTTGTAAATCATTTTCTTTTCTAGATGCAAATTTCACTTAATTTATATTGAAAGGCATTCAAATCTCGTTTATATAAATTTTTGAGAAATGAGGTTATCCTTTGCAATTTCCATCTCATTTCATTTTATATTCAGAGTCTGTTGTAAGGATTGGGGTGAGATATCAAAAGGCCAAAGGTCATCGCTTCGCGCAAGCGAAAGTAGTCGGGCCTACGTCAAAGTTGTTCTCAGTATTACGTTACTACCACTTTATTACGAAGAACTGTACTGTACATAGAGTGATGGACTTAATCTTATTATATTCAAATTAGGAAGAAGTTTGCAAAGTTGTAATGATTGTATTGTAATACTATATGTACTTAGTGTAGCCCCAATTGACACCTTGTACCAATCACTGTTTTGGCTATTGTATGTTACAGTTTTTTCGTATTAAGGGCCGATTTTTCCAACGCTAAATAAATTTTACCTGAGAAATAACAGAATATTTGACAATTCTTTCATACAAAAAACTCACATGTCAATTTTACTCTACAGTTAATAATTAAGTGATAATTGAAAAATTGGAATGTAGAATGTTAATTTAATGCTAAAAGAAAATCAAACATCCAAATAGGCTCCTTTTAAAAGTCGGTAAAAATGCATTAACGCTATTTACATTTTGCACAAACTTGACAATTTCCTTTTGCATAACTGTTTAACTATCCAGTTATTTTCATCTTTCATTGCTTTTAGTAATTTTACACTAGGTATTGGTAATTTTTACTATCAATTAGTTGGATGTTATCGTATAATTATAAGTTAATGGATAAGCGTTCGATGTTATCCAAATTAGACCTGAAGTACTTATTTTGAATCGACTTTGTAACCACCGATTTTAAAGCACCTACATTCGTTACTAAACTCAATATACAAATATACGTTAGCTATAATTCATTTATACTATATCATCTATTTCATGATGAGAAAACGCGCAATAATATAATTGCAGGCAATAATTAGTGGTTATGTTTGTCTGAACTCAAAATAAAAACAAAAGTAAAATACTGCGGCGAAACTATTTCTAAACGTTTCCAAGATCATTACAGTATTTTAGAACACGATTAAACGTAGTTTCTGTAACGGTAGCACTAGGTCAAATAGTTTGGAGTTAAAATATAGAAATTGCTTGTAGTGTAATGAAAGAAAGCTGCTATGATCCTAGATCTTAATAATGTTACATATATTAAAATTAATTTAATAATACACGTCTAATTTTGTTATAAATGGATTGTCTAGGTCACGCTAGTTGTCGAGTTATATTTAATCTTGTCTGAATTATGTCCGGCGCCAAAATACCTATCGTCCAAACATTTTTCGTATAACTATTTAGCAATTTGGGTCGTAACCTCGTTTACAGATGTTAAACAAGTAGATTCCGTTTTCGCGGTTATTTGTCTTTTAAAGGGTGTTTAAAACTACGGTGGTCACATATAGTTCGTAAAAGTTTTATAGTCTATATTTTTATTATGTCAACATTATAAAATATTGTTCCAAGTCCTTTTATATCATAGATTTTTATCTAACAATATATTTTTATTTGTTTTAGGCATAACGGATCAGTAATTCAACCATACAATGCAGGGGAGCCTTTCATGACAAACGAGTAGAAGTTTTCCGTGCAAGTAATACCTAAAACCAACAGAAGATGGCGCTTTTCAACAATTCTTTCTCAAGAACTTACCATCACTTATTTGTCGAATTAGCTGGTAAGTAAACATTTCGTACACAAAAGGTATATCATTTCTATAAAAAGGTATTAAACTGTCAAACACCAAGCGGTCACCGGTGACCGCGACCTATTGTTCTTTAATTGTGTCTATAAAACCGGTACTCGACGAGTTAATTGATACATCACACCCGTTTAGCTATTGATTTATTTACTTGAAAAAGGTGTAAAAGAATGCCTAAATTAAAGTTCTGACAGTATCTACAAAATGTCAATGAAGTTTGTTAAAACAAAATCTTCAATTTTTCCTTGAAATAGTATATTGTCAGGACATGGATTATGTACTGGAGTCCGTGGAAAATATACATAAAAAAAGAAACATCGAGTGAAGACCTAATGCATACCTACTTTATTTATTTATTTAAACTTTAATGTACACAGAAACAAGTAATGGTACATAAAGCGGACATTAATGCCATATGGCATTCTCTCCCAGTCAACCTTAGGGTTAAATTGAAAATCGGCGAAAAAATAGGCATGTACTTTACGTATTTCTTATTTATTTAGCTTTTATCACCCTCTAGCAGTGCCTCCATCACATACGTTCGCTAATATCATCCTTTCTCCCAATTTTCAGATCCGAGAACAAACGACTGGTTTCTAATAAAAGATCCGTTGCCCGGTCTCACTATCATCGGCCTGTACCTATACTTCTCGTTGAAATGGGGGCCGAGGTACATGGCAGACAAGAAACCCTTCCAATTACAGAAGACTTTAGTCCTTTATAATTTCATACAAGTCATCGTTAGCGTATGGTTGTTCCATGAGGTGAGTGATCTGAAGTCTTTAAATATTAACGATTATAATAATATTTTTTTTATAATTTGTTTAAAATCTTACAGTACTTAGTTTTAGGCATTTAATAATATATTCTTTTGTCCATTAAATGCAGCACTATTCTTTTCGTGTAACATTATTTTGTGTGTACGTAAAAATTTCATTCATCAAAATATCCTCAAAAGTCCACTCACAACTATACCGATTTTAAAGATAGTAAAAACAAAGTGGCAATCTGTGAAATGAATCTATTTATACAGCTCTTACACACGAGCAGCATATTGTCAACGACAGAGGTGTAGACTGCAGCCGTCAATGCGCGTTGGCGGCAACCGTTGATGCGTCAGCGGCATCTGTTGTCGCATCGACGGCAACTTTGAAGAACGCTACAACTGCAAGTGTCGCTATAGTCGACTGTTGCCGACATGTGTCGACGGCAGTAGTTGCCTCTGCCGTTCGCAAAATGCCGTTCGTGTGTAAAAGCTCTAAGACCTTAGAGATGGAATTATTATCAAGTGTCGATAGTAGATATCTAACGAAGAAGAAAGTGAAATTACAATAATTGTTGTTCTATGATTTCAGGGCCTCGACGCGGGCTGGTTGAGGACTTATAGTTGGAAATGTCAACCGGTTGACTTCTCAAGAACGCCGGAGGGTATGAGAGTGAGTATCTCCGGTATTCATGCCGTGACATTAATATGTGTTTACAAAACATAGAACAGGACTTTCCGAACAACTTTTCTACTAGATTTGTCCTACCTGGTTTGGGAGTGGCAGATTCTATTTCACATCAACTAGTACCAAGACAAATAGCATCTAAACGCTAATCCAATAAGTGAAAAGCAATTTCAGTATAGACTTATAATAATTATGTCAAAATTTTTCATTAAATATTATGTTTTTGGCTTGTTCACGTTATTGTTTGACCAAGAAGTCGACTAGTTTAAAGCCATACTAGAGGCTAAGGCTAATACTCATGAGCAGCATTCCGCGACGCAGCGTGGCGACCGTTGCGCTGCTACTACATTTTCATCAAGCTATACTCACTTTTCGTGACTTAATGTCGTGATGATTCTAATTGCTACATAGATTGAGTTTGCATGTGCAAACCTTCGGAAGCGGCCAATCCTTATATACATTGAATAAGAAGAAGATTATGTAAATGATAAATAATAACATAATTACATGATTTGAGGTATTATGCTAATATCGCATCTAATAGTAATGTAATACCTATTATATTCTTATAATACCATTAATTTTACACACATTATTTGCATATTTGGTCATCAAATATATTTAATATCAAGCGAATCGCTCTTCCTTTCACCTACTAGTTCTAAATTTCACTGTGACCAGCTGAGTTCGTAATTTTATTACTTTGACTTTGTTTTATATTTCAATACCTAACAAAGTCAAAGAATTTTATTTAAGTAATAACTTTGATAATTACAAGCACTTCTGAAAGACAAAAGAATGCAAGTAATAATGAGGTGAATACGATTTTGTTGATACATTTGTCTGTTGTAGTCGCTTCTGTTATAATCTATAATGAAAATTCTTTGAAGTAATTGTTGTCTTAAATAATTCCACGATTACTTTGTGCATTTAAATAACATATTCAAAATATCTTTTACATATAAGACATAAGTGAAGTATCATAACAAAATAAATGTAAATCAACTGCCAATATTTTAATTTGACTGCACGGTTGGTGTGGAGCCTGGGCAGGCAAGGCATAATTCCCGCATAGAACAACTCTACATGTTTGTAAACGCACCCACGAGACAAGAGAAAATGCTAGTGTGAGGCAACGTTTGAAAAAAAAATATGTAAAACAAGCCTATACAATACAGTTAGTCGCGGAGAACCTTACGGGTTACCGGGGCTCCGGCTCGAAGCGCAGGAGAAGGAACGGGGTGTTTTTTAGTCAGTAAGAGTCTGAAACTCCCTTCCGCCTCACCCAGGCGGGAGGAGTAATTCGATTTATTTTCCCCCCTTAAAAAAATACAATACTGTTAAACTATTCAACAACCTAATTTAGATGGAGTTACAAACTCTCTAAGCATTCACAATAGGAGTGTATGATCAAGTTACTCGTTATAAACAGCAGTTACTCTTAAGTACTGTTATTACTCGTTGTTAATTAAGATCGCTCCAGTAAATCTTGGAGTATTTAATCATTAGGTACTTTGTAATAAAAGATTGTATAATAGTCATAGGCTTAATGATATACAGTAATTTTTTAAAGAGTTTAAATGCTGTCTTGATTGGCATCTCATCACTGTTATATTATATTAACAGAACACTAAGATATCATTATTAACTGTTATGTGATTCTTGTATGTGTTAGGGGTATATCTGAGGTTGGTTTTATTGTTTAGCGTTTCGAAAGCGCCTTTGAAGCGCGCGCGTTCTGAGATATATGAGAGTAGTAATTGTGTTTCATTGTCACGCGCTTTTGTAGCGCCGTTCAGAAAATGTCATTTTTTGAGGGGCAAATTCATCCAATGGCTTCTTCCACCCGGGTGAGGCAAGAGGGAGTGTGAGACTCTTATTGACTAAAAACCACTCCATTCCTACTGCTGCACGTCTAGCGGCGTGACTATAAAACCAGCCTAAGAACCTTAACTCTAACAAGAATCACATAACTTCACATTTTCAATTCACATCACATCCTTCAATTAATGTTATTATTAGAGACTTCATGTCGATTGCTATCTTCTGGTGGATTAAGATTTGATCAAGGAATTTTGTTTTGGAAAAAAGAAACAAAAAGTAATTCTTTTATCGCAGTTATTTTTGGTTTTGTGCTTTATTTCTAAATTTTGTATGCCATTCTGATTTGTTTTTTGTTATTATTTCCAGGTTGCGAGAGGGGTCTACATATACTTCCTGGCAAAAATGTCTGAACTACTCGACACGATTTTCTTCGTTATCAGGAAAAAGGATAGACAGATTACTTTCCTCCATATGTACCATCATACTGTGATGCCCATGATATCCTGGGGAGCCACCAAGTACTACCCTGGAGGTCATGGCACCCTCATCGGAGTTATAAACTCCTTCGTTCACATTATTATGTACACCTACTACATGTTCTCAGCTATGGGACCCCAGTTCCAAAGGTACCTGTTCTGGAAGAAATACATCACTACATTGCAAATGGTAAGTTTTGACTATTTCGGCGTACATACAATGAACACTTGATAGAAATTATTCTTCAAGAAAAGTCGTAAATGGTTGATGTCCTTTTATTTACATAATTTTTTAGTTAATTTTGTTTTGCAAACAGTTTGTATCAACAGGTCCACGAGATTTTGCAGTCTTTATTTACTTCTTATTTTTCTTCATGACTAATTCGTGTTATTACCTCCTTCCAGCTCCAGTTCTGCATCGCCTTCCTCCACTCTGCGCAGCTGCTCTTCTACGACTGCGGCTACCCTCGCTGGTCCGTCGTCTTCACTCTACCTAACTCCATCTTCTTCTACTACCTCTTCTACGATTTCTACTACAAGGCGTACGGCAAACCTACCAAGAAGGGAGATGAGAAGAAAACTGACGCTAAAGAAATAACGAGTAATGGCCATGCGAATGGCAAAGTCGCTGCTAATGGTCATGCCAATGGAACCGCTAATGGCAAAAAGGTTGCCAATGGCAAGAAGGTTGAATAAACAATTTCAACATTGACATGTAAATATTTTTATTGTTTAATACCAATACCAATTTTAGTTATAGCTAATTTTGAATATTGATTAATTTTAAAAGATATCCAAGTAACGAATGATGAACAAATTCATGATCAAATTTAAATTTTTCACCGTTACTGGATTAGTAAGTACTTGTTCAACATGTAACATCGCTTTGATGTTACTCAATGCTGTGTTTAGTACTTCTAATTTGTTGGATTTAAATTGTTTTATAATTATTACGTCTTCAGTTATGGATAAGAATGTTACGGTGTATATAATATAGATTGTTATGACCATGTATTTAAGACATTATTTTTTAAATGAAGATGAGTATATTGCCATGAAACTCAAAGTTAGCTTTGATGCGTCTGCTCTTAATTTTTCGAACAAATATTTTGTTATGTAGATACAGTGATTTATAAAGGCACCAATTTTATGCAGATGTAATTTTAGTTTATTCAGTGTATATTTTGGTAACTTTTTATTGTTTTGTGAATTACATTATTTCGAATTTCATTGTTAATACAACTGTAAGAAAACGTGATAAAAATTAAATTGTCTTCCAATTATTTAGAGTATCTCTTCCAGTTGGCATAATTACTGTTAGATGAATTTATTTCTAGCTGAATCTAGCTCAGAGTCAACGATACTCGAGTTATTATATATTGTGGCAAATATTTTTTAATGAATTGCCAAAAATGGTAGCCCCAATTAAATTTTTAGTAAAAAGTTGATGCAAAAACCAATCTTCATGTTGCTTCGTAATTACTTTTATTATACCTAATAAATAATCTGCTATTTATTTCCAACGACAACAGTTGTTCAATAACGACTGAAACAACTTTTAAAATAACTCTCAAATAGGTCATGTAAAAGTACCCTAACCATCTAGATATTTTTCTACGAATTTAATAATAAGGCTACTTATTAGATAATACTGGTTTTCTACAATTATCTGACGTATTATAGCAATTTAGATTTCAATAAGCTCAATACCAAAATATGACTAATGGTATAACATACTTAACTATAACATTCTAATTTAATAATCCAGAATTTTAAAGAAATCCATTGTTATTAGACTTGCGGTAGATTTTCTAACCTAATCTTCAAAATAAAGGAGAAAAATTGTATTTCCTAGTTAAAAGATTATGTGTTACGCTCACTAGATGGCGTTAGTGATAAAGACGATTTTATGATGAGTCCTCTTTCGATACTAGCGCTCTAATGGTGTTATGAAGTACCTTATTGAGTACTGATTACAGTAAAACGAGTTGAATAGAATTCGAGGGGTGAATAGATACAGCAATGGGGTAAATAGATCCTTTGGAATTTTTCCTAATAGCTATTTATCCCTCATCCGTCTCTTATTCATTCCGTTCCAGGTTTATTGTCATAGTTGAGTATGTTTTACCTTTAACCTAAATAAGCAATTGTTCAAGCATCTTTCATATACGGTAGTTGCACATTTATAGATTAAAGAATTGTACATTTGCGTAATCGGGTTTGTAATGTTTAACAATATATGTGACTACGATATTTGCTGTATTTTTTTTCCTTAAAACTTTATTGCTGCTGTCTTCCCTTTAAATAAAATCAAAATATCCTGTGGATTGCATAAGGATTTTACAATTAACCTCTGGACTGTTAAATGAGACACAATAAAAATACATTGTGTCTGAAGTACCTAGATCTACGTTTCAACCAGATTTTTTTTAATTGGGCACTTTACCCTCTATAAGGGATCTTGGTCAACATTACCCTCTATGAGTTATCTTGATCAAGTCAAGAGTCAAGGGACTCATAACATAAAACTGAAACGTGAGTGTTCAGTGTAGAAATAATCTTTTTAAAAGATGCACTCGGCCAACACCATACTACTATGTATTTATTGTGTTGTCCCATAGCCCGATAGATGGCGTTGACCGATTTAAATTCAAGCTATGGTTTCGTTACCGGCAAAACATTAGGTTGTCTGCTTTGACTTAAATAAATTGTCTTGTTCTGAGGTACTTCGTATCATTTCAAGTACTAGGCTTCAAAGGACTTTCGGCTGATAACGTACAGTGTGTGTTACATTGTACAGTGGCACTAAATGCCGTAATGTGCACCTCTGCACGCCCTTTCGGGGACAAAAGGCGTGATGTCATGTTAGACATGCCGGCAACAACATTCCAAAACCGTTGCTACTCTTGTAAGCCAGTATCTATAGGAGGTACTATACAAATAGGAAAACACCGAGACACGGAAGTCCGGCGCGACCCAGAGCAGCTTAAATATATTGCCTTGGATCCCATAACGAACTAGATTAAACAATGTTATTATAGGAGAAGAAAGAAGTTTTCACTTCCCTCAGTGAATTTAATACAGGAGACAGAATGACTTAAGTTACAGGCACAAAAGCGACTGTTCCAGCCAGATATAGGTACATATATGCCATATATGCCATAGCCAGATATATGTAACATGTACACTTAACACAAAAGTAGATAGCTTACCAAAATATTCACGTATGGGAACCTGTTTTCTTTGCCCCAAGGACCAAGGTCCCCGTGCCAGGGTATTAGTATTTGTATGTAAGAATAAAATTAAAAATATGCTGAAATTAAAAATTATTTATATTAACTTAACATTTATTCATGCAAATTAGGTATAATTTGTAAAAACCTAAAAAAAGTTATTCACAAAAGTTTAATAATAAAAAAGTGTTGAAGCATAAAAAACTTCAAACAATAATTGTATTATAAAATTTCTATAAAATATTAAAAAATATTGTATATTGTAAAAATAAACCCATTTTAAAATACCGACGTATATTTTCAAAATAGAGTGTGTCCCTTAAGCTTTTATTTTCAATAATTACTTAAAATAGGTTTATTTCAATATCTGAATAACAAATACAGTTATTGTTTATTCATAAACGTAATTTCGAAACAAAGTGTTTAATATAAACATGTTATTATTATTATATCAAAACTCGTTACTTATTTTTTATTATAAAGGCACAGATTTCAAAAATAAATTGACATTTATATTTGACCATGAAATTGAAAAACAAAATAATATGATTGTGGTATTGAAGTAAATTTCTGGATAGGATAAAAATTAAAATAAATAATGTTTGGTAGACTTTGAAGAAGGTAAGAATTTCATTTGAATATTTAAAGTATATTATCATAATCTGGTCTGATAAAATATACATATTATATCGTTTATAATAAATCCACATCATAATATTTAGGTGCAATTCAATGTGTGGCTAAAAAATTCCTCCATAAAATCATGAATAACGTTTGTATTGAGACTTCCTACTCTCAAGTTTGTTTCTAAAAGTACATAAAATAATTAACTTAATAATTTAAATATAATAATATTATCCATTGATACTTATAGTAAAATTTCTTCAGCATTTCTGCTGAGCGTGTTAAGGCACGATTTAGAACAAAATAGATATAAACATAACAAAGGCCTTTTGTAGTCATCATACGAGTTAAATTTGAAGGTGTGTTTGGATTTAGATAAATTCATATGAATGAATTGATATTCACAATTCTTCAGTTTTGTGCTACAAAAGTATTAAAAAGCAGGAGTGACATGATTTCTTGATTACCAAAGAAGCAAAGATAATATTCTACGGACAGTTTAAAAAAAAGCTATAGAGAATCAATCGATAAAACATCACAGCCTAAAAAATCTTATGGAACTAGCAACAATTTAGCTCCATTCAGTATCAAAAAAAAAACACATGTTATTCAATTCTATTTAAAACATTAAAAAATCTAATAAATAATACACTATTTACAACAATAACTATGAAATAAAATTTTCTCAAAAAATTATGAAGTTATTTCCCAAACCTTCGAAATTTCGAAACCAAAAAAATGTCCATGTCATCACAGATAAATCGTTTTTACACTTATTAATTTAATATTGCACTATTCTTCTTTTGGTAGGCACAGCGACGGTAGGGAATTATTGGTGACGATGCCACCTCTTCTTTTATTGTAATTCTGACGGTAAAAGTTGAGGAAGAGTAGGAGAATGACTCCGGTATTACAAGACACAAATATGGCCACACCTCTAGCTGGTGGACAGTCTGACACTCGCACAGTTGCTATGTATTGAATGATGATTGATACAAACTGGATCTGTGGAAAAAACATATTGTTACTTCATCCGCGTCGATTGGTGAAAAAATAACTATTTACTGTTATAGATCTTTGTATCTCAGGTATAAAAAACATACTATGGTTCAGTCCTTGGTTCACGCCAAATCTGATTCAGTAGTTCAGACTTTAGTCGACTTTACTTTGAGCAAGGTAATTAAGTGTAGTAAAATGATTTTTCAAATAAATTATTATCTCGATAGCAAATGTCATCAATGTGAATTAAATTCATTTAGAATTAAATTAGGTACTGTAATAAAAGAACTTACCAGCTGAAACTTGGTCATGTATTTCTTCCACCACAAATATTTGGCGACATTTGGGCCCAATGCAGCCAATCCATAATAAGTGTACATAAATACATGCACCAACGAATTCAGGAACCCGATGAATATCAGTGTGTGTGACGGCCAATATTTGAGCAAAACCCATGTGCCAATCACCATGACAGTATGATGGTATAGATGTAGAAAAGTAATCTGATTGTTCTTCTTTCTTAGAACAAAAAATACGGTATCTAAAAGTTCTGTTAGCTTTGCTGCTAAATACAGGTACGTGCCCAGAAGGATCTGAAAAAGTACATTATAAAAATTATAATATGTTTTAACTGAGCTGTATGGTGAATAGGTGAAAGGCGATTTTGAAAAAAGAAGGTTTTATTTGATTATCTAAATTTCAAATGACAAACATGGTAACTAAAATTGTCTTCGATATGTAACACGAATGGGTTCGCTTATGCTTCAAGGGATTTTCTTCTTCTTAGTTGTTCTCTTCATCGCTGAAGGTCATGTCTAGTCTGGTGCACGCGTCATTTGATGCACAACCTTCCTTCAAGCACCCATATCCTCTGCGACCTTTATGGCTTGTAAAACTATCAGACCAGTGAGGTATTTTACCGCATCTAGCCAACGGGAACGACCGCGAAATGTTTTCCTTTTAACTTGACCAACAACCAGCAGTTTCTCCAGATTGTCGAAGTCTCAAGGGACTTAAGAAGTAGCAAATAGGCCCGTAAATATCGGACAAGGTTACTTGACTAGTTTGAATTCGAACCAGGTGTGTTATACACTGTGATGTTATCATGTTTTCTGTTTACAAAAAAGGTGGGAAGCAAGTGTGGGAGAGCCATGCTTCGGCACGAATAGGCCGGCTCTACCGGAGTGATACCACGGCCTCACAGAAAACCGACGTGAAACAACGCTTGCGTTGTATTTCGTCGTGTGAGTGAGGTTATCGGAGGCCTAATTACCCCTCCCTAGTCCCCGTCTTCCGAATCCCCGAATCCTCCACAATCCTCAAATTCCCAATTCCCATAACTCTCGGCCGGTAACGCACTTGCATCAGGTGATCCGTCTGCTCGTGTACTTATTCTATAAAAAAGGTGAAATTAATTTAATACTTACTCTATTCCTTGAACTATCTTCATTCATGTAACACTTCTTTGGAACCAGACCCATGTCAAGTAGATCTAGCAGAAACTGGAAACAAACCAATAATGCAATGATTTAATCTTAAATTAAACTCTAAGTTAAACAAAGTACGAAGATTTTCAATTAAAAGTCTAGCTTTTATTAAGTTTTAGCTTAATCTAAGCGTAAAAACATACATAAATTTTAATAAAGATGTAATTAGTCTGCCCTCTTCAAATGCATGTTGTTGCACAAAGGCAAATTATAGTTTAGTTTACATATTTTTTATATTTCTCTTGACGTCAAACTATTATCAAGATCCAAATCATAATCATATTAATTATAATCATTTATTTATTTGTAACATAGGTGGTATTACATAGATGTTCATAAGTTAGTTACACTATCAGCAAAATTATATTCATACAGATAGACATCGCACCAATAAAAATACCTCATAATCATTTTCTCGGTTGCTTAGCAACCGTAACCAGTTATAAAGCCATAGATGCTCAAGATTCTGGTCAAACAGCGTGAAGTTTAAATTAGAACCCCCCATCTCAAACGTGAGATTATCAAAATTACGCAATTCAAACAATTTTTATGTATGTTTGTACATCACATAGTTTCTAAGTACTTTTGTGGAATAATTACTCTGTTTACCTATTACCTAATTTTACAAAGGTACGCATTATTATATCATGTTGACATAATATTATTAAATTTTAGGGAAAACCGTTGTTGTTGGTGTGCCAATTTGGTTTAGTGAAGGTCAATATAGGCGAAAAGTTTATGTTATTTGGGTTCAGTTTACTGTATTGACAACTGAGTGAGGTGTTAGAAAGTGATTACTAAAAAATTAGAAGACATTTATAGGGTTTTTATCCAATTACTAATACTGATAGCACTTTATACACGAATAAGGCTACTGCTTTTAAAAATAAGACTCAACAAAAACTGACGAACGATCCTAAAAGTTAATTAGGGCTTACAAAACAGCCAAGATTGTATAGAAAAAATTGGAAACTAAAGAACACTTGTATTAGGAGTTTAAAAATTAAGGAAATATACAAAAGAAAACTCACCCTGTAAACCATATAGATAGAGAATGCCACTTGGATAGCATTGTAGATGAGTAGCGTGTATGTTAGCTTGTATCCCTCTCGTTTCCTCATGAAAGCTGGTCCTATCTTCAGGACGAAGACTAAGTAGACTGCCAGGATGGTAAGAACTGGTCCCAGGGAAGCCATGAATGGAAGCTCATCGATTTCTTCATCTGTAATGAGAATAGTGGAATTATTGAAAGATGATCGTATTTTTTATAACATGGATTCTTTTTGTGTTTTGGTTTATTTCTTTATAACAACTTAGGTATGATTTCTTTTCTGCAAATTACTTCTAGCTTACTTTTAACTGACTGTTTTAAATGATTGCACGGTTGGCGCGGTGGTCGGGCAACTGGCTGCCGCGCAACGTGTCGTGGGTTCGATTCCCGCACGGAACAACTATTTATGTGATCCACGGATTGCTGTGCCGGGTATGGGTGTCACGTGTATATGAACTTGTATGTTTGCACCCACGACACAGGAGAAGATCCCAGTGTAAAGCAACGTTTTTTTAAAGAAAAAAAACTAGTGTTGAGGTACCCAAAAAGCCACATTCTTCTAAACGTCATCATTTAACATGAAGCTAAAGTTAAAACTGGAAAGAATTGATAACTAGCACTAGTGGAGGACTATCTATAGTAGTTTATTTATAGTAAAGACTAAGTAATCGATGAGTACCTTTTAAATGATTCAACCAATAATCTAAACGAAGTAAATGACTACGTATTTGTATACTCAAATACTAACAGGTACAGACGACGCCATGACTTGTAAATTTACTTGTAGAATTAACTCCGCCTTTTTCAATGAATGTTTATGCAAAGAAAAGTATATAAGTTAGTAATACACCTAATAAAGTATTAAAAACACAAGTATCACATCTTTGTGAGGATTTCGCAATTAAAATTGATACTTAGTTGGCAAAATATTGTGGACAGTGTCAAATCATAGTTTACTAAGTAACTATGGTATAGATTAACACTCAGTAAATAAAATTTTGACCCGCTAGTAAAAGGTACACAGTAACAGAGTTGTCAACCTGTAGAAAAGTATTTACTACGAGTAAGTACTTTATTATTTTAAACCAGTGAACTCCGCGAGCGAAGCCTTGGAATTTTTCTGCGGATATTTGTAATTTGTTTCTTGCATAAAAACCTTTTCCTAACAATAATAAACCCAACACAAAACCAAACAGCGAAATCGGTTCAGCTGTTCTCGATATTTGCGCTTAGCAACAACCTTATCATACCATTTTTAAGGATAACATGAATGAGGCTAAAAATAAAACAAATACTCACATTTACTTTTGTTCAAGTCCCAACTGGGGTTTTTCGGGTTGATTCCGATGAGTGAGTTCATTTTGATTTAATTTTGAGATGTTGTTATGAATTCTGCAACTGTAACAAAAGCAAAATAATTGTAGATACTAGATTTGAATTAAGTAAACAGGCAGCTAAAAATCTTGGAAGTTTGAAGGCGCATAACTCCCAAATAACTAAACCAAATACGATGATACTTTTTTGATTGCATCTTCTATTATGGCAACTACAAGTTGAGGAACAAGATTCAAATAAAAACGATAAATGGTTTTCAACAATAAATATCGATATTTCAGAACCCTTGGTTGCGTTTTGTTTCATCGTGTGAGTGAGGTTACCGTCCTAACCAGTCTTCTCAATTCCCAAATTCCCCACAAACTTCAAATTCCCAATTCCAAAAAGGCCGGTAACGCACTAGTAATACCTCTGGTGTTTCAAGTGTCTTGCTTACCATCAGATGATCCGTTTGCTCGTTTACCGGCTTAGGTATCCCATGAAAAAGAACCCACAATGATAAATTAAATTATTTTGTATAGAAAAGTTCAGTCAAAAACGAATACACACAGATATTTTAATCAAAACGAGTAGGTATTTGATTAAAAATCTTTTATAATGAAACTGTTCAAAACTGAATAATCACAACACAAAAATGTTACACAATTTGCACAAGCTGCAAAAAATAGAACTAATAACGAAAATATAATGTTACCATCCGATCTTTATGAATTCTGAACCCGAACTAAATTATTTAATTATTTCAGTACTTAGTGCCCGTTATCTAATGGGGAAAATGTTGCAAGGTTGCGGTTAAAATACATTAGGTGTAAGGGAATTCCTATGTCGTTGCAATAAAGATCAAAGTCCAACGTGATTTTATGTGACCAAAATCAATCTCCATGATTATATAAGCTTCATAATGGGAGTAGATGTGTTTAATAATTTTAATGTTATTTTACGTTTAGTCAAAATAATTATTGGGCACGTGATCTTCACGTGTTATAATAACAAGTCGTGTAACATATTATTGTGGTAAAGGCCGCACAGCAGTATTTTTTGAATAACCCTGATGTTTTTAAAACCACATATTCCAAAGCGTCTGCCAATCGAAGAGATTATTAAAACCTCGTGGTGCCCGGAGGTTTTTTTTAAGAGGGGAAAATCATCCACTTACTTCTCCCGTCTAGGTAAGGCGGGAGGGGAAGTCAGACTCTTACTGACTAAAAACCACCCCGTTCCTACTCAAGCACTTCGAGCCGGAGCCCCGGTAACCCGTTAATTTCTCCACGGTTCCATATCGGCATCAGCCCTATTGGCCCCATCCGAAGTGGTCTGATGGCTCTGTGCCCGGAGGTTTAAGGTCGTGATGGCCCGGAGGTTTATAACGCCTGCTTCTTACGTATGGGGAGGGCGGGTAATTTTTAATAATAATTTGGGACTACTCAAATAAATAATTTAATAACAAGTTGTCTTGTATCCAAAAAAACCATTTGCCAGATAAGTTACGCAATACAATCGATAAAATAATTATGTCATTAGGTTCTTAATTGCACTTTGGAATGCATTCCATTCCATTATGATATGACTTAATTATATTGAATCATCAAAGAAATGGCGCTTAAATAATTAGATTAAATATTATCTCTATTAGTAAAATAATTAAAAAACATTAGTTGGTGATACTTTTTTTATGTTAAAATATCATCAAAATGAACCCATTATATTTTTACAATTTCAATGCGCAAATAATTTGCACATTTTAGCAGGTTATTGTTAGATTAACAAGAAAATAAACTGCGCCTCATATACTGCTAACAAAAAGAGAGAAACAAAACAATATTATGCGCAAAAAGAACATATTCCACAAATGCGCTCATTTTTCTATGTAGATACATAATTTATCAGTTTTTAATTTGCATTTTTTATACTTTTTGAGCTTTTTGAAGGATTACAGATGATCAGAGAATTACTTAACCATATGACACGAAAAGTATGTTATTCATATATTACACACAAACATGGCTTGGCAAAATGATCATTATGTGTCGAAGAAACCCAAAGAAGAAGAAGAAAGTAAACAAGGGGTTGTTTACTTCCGAAAGTTGTCTGTTCATTTGTTTACATTTACATCGACCCCAATGTGTAATTTAAATAAATAATGGCCACATCGTCCTCAAGGCTTACTTTATGTCAAGGGCCCTTTAATTCATCAAAGTCATGTTTTTGATACTGAAAACCATTACGAGACTTGATTAATTTAAATCATTAATCAAAAGTAAAGAAAATCCATTTCAATTTACTTAGTACACGAAAAGGGGATAGGCAGGCTGTACGTACGACGCTATGTAGAACTTTCAATAACTATGTTATGAGTTCAATTTTATTTGGTTACTGAAGACTTCTTGTAACCAAACTTGGTTACATACTATTTATAATATTCTCGACATAAATATAACATTGTATTTATGTTTTCCGGGATATATTTCTGAGAATATTGAGGAGGAACATACAGGTAAATTATGAGGGAAATATTGTTGTCTTTAGGATTTGTTTTGTATTTACTGAAGTATGTATGTAATACATAATGATATATACATTAACTGTCAAATTATTCCTTATAGTTATTATTATAGTTCTACTAGCATCTGGCCGCGACTTCATACGCGCAATCCCGTTTTCTCCCATTCCCGTAGGATTTCAGGATATGTCTTAAGAACTAATAAATACAACAAAAAAAGAATTAGTGAAATCGGTGCAGCCATTCACGCGAGATGCCGTGACCAAGGGAAAAAAGGATTCATTTTTAAATACATAATAGATTAGTTTATTATTACATTTTAATCATGAACTATTTGAAAATTACAACTGTAAAACTTAGTGTTTAAGTATTTCTTAAGTCTGACATTGTATTTTTAACTATAAGATCAAATTAGATAGATAAATGTGACCACGATTATGATCGTTACCTGAAGATTACTTCCTTAGAGAGACTATTGTTTTAGAGTTTTATTATTCTTTTATACACCTGTTGTTATTAAAGCTATTAACAGTACAGCTCTATAAAAATAATAATTAAGGGTAGATAATTTATCACACGTGAGATAGCGTGATGGAAAGTTTGACTATCATTAATTTTGATTGATTGTCGTTAATAGTAGAAGAAAATGTAGTACAAATAAAATGTGACCTATAAAAACAAAATTAAGTTAAGTGCGCTTCAAAATTTTTAGTATTCAGTGAATAATTATTCACTATAGTTTTTGTACTTTTTTTTTTTTTTTAAATCTTTATTTAATAAGAAGGGCTTTTTTCCGTAGAGGAAAATATCAGCCCTATTATAGGATACAAAATTTAATACAAAAAATAAAGCAGCTAAACCTTTTGTAGGTTTAACTATCCCTTAAGCTCAAACACAAATTAATTAAACTATACAATTTTTTAGCGTCGGATGACAATGGTGACGCTAAAACACTGTTATAAAAACCAATATTAAGGCACTTAAAACTAAAAACCTGATTCCTCTGAGACTCAATACGTCGACACTCATACAAAATGTGTTGCACATCCTCTACAACATCACATACAGCACAATTTGGTGATTCGACTTTACGCATCATGAATCCGAAACTATTAAGAGGCATGTGTCCAGATCGGAGCCTTTAAGCTGTGACGATATCTTGTCTACTCAACCCGCCTTCACCGAACCAGAGGGCACGAGGAAGCGTCGGTTGTATTGTTTTATACCAAATGCCTTTAGTAAGTGATCTTTTGTCAAAGTATTCTGACCATACTTTATAGCAACTTTCTCTTACTAAAGGCAGAAGTTCAGTATGCCACAGAGCACAAGTATAAACCTCCCCGTCAGATCCCGCTTCATTAGCCAACCGATCAGCTTCCTCATTACCCTCCAATCCAATGTGGGAAGGGATCCATTGTATCACAATACTTTTGCCTTTGGCCCTAAGTTCAAAAATAGATCTTAAAATACTGTACGCCAGTGGAAGCCCTCGTACAGATAAACTTGAATGAATTAGGTGAAAAAGAGCACTCTTTGAATCACAAAAGATAACAAACCGGTCACCGTCTAAGGATTGAATATACGACAAAGCTTCCGCAATGGCAATTAATTCTATGTGCATAATTGATAGCTTCGATAAAATGCGTAATTTGAAGCTTATACCTAATTGTGAATCAAAAAATGCTGCACCATAAAAATTATCCCTTCTTGAACCGTCTGTATATACACAATGATATTCTGAATATAACGAAGTTAAAGACTTGCAACAGATTGATTTTAAGTTATAGCTATTATATGATTTTTTTGGTTTGTCTATATGTTCTAAAGTAGTTTTAATGTTCGATAAGTCCATATTGCTGCCCCATGTATCCATAGAGAATAAACCAACACTGCCACTTGTATAAACGTGTTCTTGCTTTAAGGATAGTTTTTGTACTTATAGATACAAATTTACAATGACATCAAGTAATTAATGTTTTTGTTACAAAATCTTAAAAGGGTAGGCAAAGTATAGAAGGTTTTTTCTTTTAATAACGTTACCCCACACTAGGATTATATCCTGTATTGTAAGTAAGTTTATAAATGAATAAAAAATGACTGCCTCGTTGGCCAAGTAGTCGCAAGTCAAGACCGAATCGAATCGATTCCCGAGTCGGGCAAAGTATTACTAGGATTTAAAAATCTCAGTAGTAGCACGGAGTCTGGAAATGTGCCCGGTATATGGCAATAGGTTCACCTCCTATTATATGGCACTCATAACATAAATAGCGAAAAGTGGGTATTACTTCTGTGTGCACGTCTGCCTGCCCCTTCGGGGATAAAAGGCGTGATGGTAGGCTGTAAAAAATTTCGTGTTATAAAAAAAAGAAAAGCAGAAAGTTCAATAACTCAATAACCTGGAAATTAAACGAGTCCCGGCAATTGCGTCTGCGACCGAGTGATCGCAGTGTCTCATGGTCAACGAAAGTGGTCTTGACAGGCAAAATTATTCCTTACCGACAATTATAAAAAGCAACCGAAACAAC